CAACCCGCGGTCCTCGTCGCTCTGTGAGGACAGCCAGCGCAAAAGCGCCATCTGGAGGAAGGACGTGGACATTGTGAAAAGCAGTATGGAATTGGAATGTTATGGAATTGTATGTAAGAAGCAGAAAGAAAATACTGGATGTGTAAATAATAATAATACTGTCAAATAATATGGTTAATACGTAGTGATGTTACGAAATTCTTCATGCTAATTTTCCTTTCCTGTCCATACTTTTCACGCAGGTAGTAAATAATTCATAAATGCTAAAAAAAAAGTTGGGAAAACGTGACAGAATAACGAATCTGCTTCTCAACTCAGTTTAGTCCACAAATTAAAAAACAACAAAAAATACAATTATCCTAATGGTACTAGTTATTACCTCGAAGCTACCTAAAATTTTCAGAGGTAGCTACGAGGTGACGTATCTCGTCCAGCGACTCCCTTACGATAACAGTTTGTTCGCAAAAAAATAAAAATAAACCGAGCGAGTTTTTAAGTTATGACAAATGTAGGTATTTTCGATATATATTCCGGTTTCAGTACCTGTTGTAATAACTGGGCGTTCGTCATTCCCTCCGAACTCGACATGGAAAAAACAGAACATTTTCTCAGTTAAAGCACTCGACACGGTCGACGTAAACGACTCCAAATAAAACCTAAAACATTCACCTGGATCCACAAATACTGGCTAAAACCAGTGGATTAACGAGGAAATAAAATAAAACAGCGAGAAGTAGAACGATAAAAGGTTAAAGGCCGAGAGAAACTCCCATTTACTGTTTACTTCTCTTCTTCCATTGTGGTGCTCTGTTTAAACCGCTGCTGCACCTAGCGGTCAGAGATAGGAAGTACAGCGGCAGACTGTTTTTTTTTCTTCCACAAGTCAATTGTATGTTCTTATTCAGCCCACTTTTCGACAAAAAAACCCATATTTATTAATAATTCTAATTCTATTTTTTTTTAAATCTCTACATTACAAATACACGTGGAAATTACAAGTTACTTTTTACAGTAGAGTCATAACACTTGTGTGGTACAGGCAAAGTGAAGCAGAAAGGCACATTTATTCACAACAACATAGAGTCAATCTATTTGGCAATAATCATGAACAATTTTAGCTCAAAAAACCGTAGCTCCTGCAATTAGGTGTAATATATATAATAATAATAATACATGATCAAAAACATAATCACATTTCACTTTCCACGCATCGTCTTTTGTTTGTCTCACTGAACCGAAACACTT